ACACGAGTTTGAGAGCTTCGGAGAAAAGCCAGGCCTTGGACTCAGGGTGGAGGCAGCCCAGGGACGCAAACCTTCTGGCCGCCCCAGCCCCTGTGAGCGGGGCCCCCGCCGGCAGGGGCAGCTGGGCTGTGAGTAGCCACCGCCGGCCGGAGCAGGGGGGACGCAGGCGCCGGCTGTGCTGTGACTGCACGATCCTGCCCCCGGCGCATGACACGCTTCCCACTTCCCAGGGACTGACTGTACTGGGGAAACGAGGGAGAGAAGCCCTTCTTCATCCTTCTAGTCATCCTCCTGTGCCCACGTCACCCCTCATGGAAGCACTGCCTACTGTGAGGGATTCTAGCCTCAGCCCTGCTTTCTCCTGCCTGTGGCTCTTGTTCTTTGCTTATAAATATTCAACTATTTACATTTTAAGTCCTCACCATGTGGCTAGAATTGGTTGGAATTTGTACATCTTCACTGGAGAAAAAGAAATATTCTATAAGCAATCTTTGTGAAAAGATAATATTAGAAAATACAATGCACAGGCGGCCCGAGGCGGGACGGCGCTCACGCCGCGTCGCTCCCCAGCGCCGTCTCGCTCTCCTCGTCCGGCTCTTCCGGCTCGCTGGTCCGGACCACGTCAGCTGCGTGGTCCGTGGGTGCCCTGGGGCAAGAAGAAAAATGCCGAGGCCTTTAGTCTTGAAAGGAACAATTAAGTTTTTCATTCTTTCCTCATTTCGATGAGAACTTTAAGTTGTCACCAATCATTTACCTCGCATCCCTACTAAAAATTACTTCCTCGTCAGAAGACTCATCGGATAGCTTCTGCGCCATATTTTTTTTGCGTGTGGCACTGAGAGGTCTGTGCATGTCCCTGACCCAGAGCGGCCACATTCTCCAGAAGACGCCCTCCTAGAACGGAAAAAGGGGAACATTCATTCTGCATCTCCCCTGCTTTCTCTGGCAACAGTACTTTATACTCCTCAGATTTACCTGGCTCTCACTTCGCTCTGAGGATTTCGGTTTTCTATGCAGCAAAAACCGAAAGAAGCCCCATGGAAGAAAACACGCACAATTAGTGATGCATGCCACTTTCCACATCTCACACAGTGTGCCTGTCTGGTCTTACTGGGACTAAATGGGCACCTCAGTAAACACTCACCACCAGCAAAGGCACCTCACACCCGGACCCTGATGATAATTCCATGCACACTGGGCTCCCAGAAGCTCTCCATGCCTGTCTGAGATGGCCCCCCCCAGTGTCCCCAGACAGGCCTCTGCATGTGGCTGAGCACGGAGTTCGGGCAGACTTTCTAGCCCCACTCGCCTGCTTGGCCCTGCCAAGTGCCCTCGTGCAGGGAAGACCCTGCACAGCCATGTGAGGCAGAAGAACGTGACTCTGGAAGTGTTCAGCCCAGCCCTCTGCAGACGCAGTCACATGCAGCACGTGCTGGGGCTGAGGGGGAGGGAGTCCCTATTTTCCTAGCAGCTTTGTCCTGTAAGCTGGATCACACCAAGTAAACCCGAGTCCAACTAGCAGAGCTATCTGACTCACTGACTTTCACACCGCAGGCTGTCTCTGATGCTAAGTGAATTGTGAAATCAGTTTAAAGACCACGACTAGCACTAAAACACAAAATATTCTTTTTTGAATATACATAGAATAGGAAAAAATCAGAATGCATAATAAGTTTGTTTTAGACACTCCTTGTGTCCATATAGTATGTGGTGCTGACTTGTGACGTAACATGTAGCTCACAGCCCAAGTACAGTGTGATCAATGAAGGCCTCAGTGGAAGGGAAGCATCTTTTTGATACTCACTAGCAGTATGGCCATGGGGCAGGACCTTTTCCCTCTCTCTTTCTCCACTTTCTTAATATAAAAGGAAGAAACAAACTGCTGTCTAAAGTTTCTCCCAGTTAAAATTCTATGAGGTTTGGATAAAGGGAATAGACTGTGGGGGTCTGAAAACCAGCAGGAGGACAAGGGATGTTTCCTTGCCACTTTCTAGGAAGGACTCATATATTCTCCCTTCCAACAGCTTTGAGTGAGGCTGGCCCTCAAACCCTAGAGCCATGTGGCCTTCCCTACCCCAGAACCTCCAAGAAGGCCACTGGCCCAGCCCAGCCTGATGCCCACCACCAGCAGAAACAGGTGAAAACCCAAACCTCTCCCCCTCCCCCTTCTTCCCTTAAAGGACTAGGAAAAGCGGAGGCATCTGGGCCTGTCCCATTCCAG